CGTTTGCAGTGTGTGTGTCCGTCCCATCGTGCATTCCGCCAGCTCCTCCGTTCCTGTCGGGCTTGGGCAAAATCTTACGTTGTGGAAGGCGGCGCTAAGACCACGCTCATTTAAAATGTCCAGACAAATTGAAACTTTAGCATGTGGTTCTGAAGGTTTGGTCAGTAGGTTACAAACTCACTCACTAAGCGTGTCCATAAAATTAACATGAATTAATATTGACAAATTACAAGTCTCACAAGTTTCCTAAGTTTATTCTTTCTTCTGCACTTCTGACCCTCAAAATCCTGGGAGTTGCACAGTGCCGTAATAGCTTTTGGATCTCTATTTCTACTGCAATATACCAAAATCTATGCAAAAGTTATACAAAAGAGGTTCCTATGAGTGAAGACATCTCATATGACTGTATCACGCTGCTGGAAAGAGGAGAGGAAAAAAAGAAGAAAGAATGAAGGGGCAGCAGGCTGATAGTGACCAAAGTGAACTTGGGCATGACTTGATTATTGTGAATTATTTTTATTTTAATAAATAATATTCAATTGTTAGTCATCAAACTATCACATTTTATAGATAGGGTACAAAATGCACAGCACAAACATCTCTTTTGATGTTGAGGGGAGTAGATAGCAAATTTTTATTTATTTATAAAATTTTATCTATTTAATATATGAGATCCTTCCTGCTACTTTCTTATCCTTCAAGACTGTTTACTTTGTGGTGGGATGAGACTTACCCCCTATCATAGCCTGTAGACACACAAGTTGACAGTCTAGGCTCCTTGTTTGTTAAAAATGTCCTGCATTTTTTTTAATTGAACTTTTTCTTTTTTATGTATATTGTTGTTTCTATTTTAAGCTTTCTTTTGAAGAAGACAGAGTAGGCAGTAGGCTACAGTGCTGTGCACATGAAGAGTCCTTTTCAAGTTAATTACATTCTAGAGACTCTCCCTGAGAGATTCTGGCAGCTTCATACAGTGGTAGGGTACTGAATAATTAGCATCTACAAGAGCCAAACACAGAACTTGTACATTGATTATTATCCTTTTTGTTGTTCTTATGCACAATAAAAAGCAGATTTCTGCTAGAATATGTAGCCCACTTAGAGACAAGGGTTATCTTTTTCATAGGTTATTTTTCAGTGGAGGGTTAGGAGGTCATGTTTTAGTATTGGTAGGGTTTGTTGGTTGCAACTGTCACATTTTTGTCTTTGGCATACGTGAATTGTTTCTGTATGTCTCTGTTACGGAAGTTTGGTCAAAATGAGAGGGTTGAATTTCTGATAGTTTCTTCTAGTTCTAAAGGATAGCTATTGGAAAAGAGAGAAAGAGCAGTTCTACTCAATCGCAGCCAATGCACGTTATTTTCATGGATGCTCATCTGACAGTTGGGAGTGATTGCAATGTTTTAGTCTTGCTGCCTAGATCTGTTTTTCAAAAAAAAAAATGTTAAGCTCTCTCCTCTCTCACGAGAACTGTAGTTTCCTGTGTATTTTTATATGCACAAACATAGATATTTTTAGTATTTTTTTTTAATTCCCTGCATTATCTAGGAAGTATCTTAAGAATAACATCATTAAATTGGACCTGGAGGGTTTTGGAGGTTGTTCTTTTGGGGGAGGCGTGGGATGAGGGACAAAGTATTACAGCAGAGGCAGCATAATGCACTTAGAGCAAACTTCTACAGTTAATGCAGTCAAAAAGTTCCAAACTTTACCAAGTTGTGGTCCTGGTTACAGATTTCATTTATTCATGCTCATGATGAAAAATGGAATCTGGTCAAGAAAATGTTTGTTTTTTTTTCTGTTTTGCTTTTATATGCAACAGTCCTGGTTACAGGTTTCATTTATTCATGCTCAGGATGAAAAATGGAAATGAAAAATGGTCAAGGAAATGTTTAGGTTTTTTTCTGTTTTGCTTTTATATGCAAGAAGCACGGTGTTTAGCTGCTCCACAGAAGCAAACTTTTTACACTTTCCAAAAACTTATCAGACATTTATGATAGGATACCAACAACACAGGTCTATAAAGGTTGAATATAGCAACCTGGTAGTTCAGTCGTGCTAGACAGTACTTGGTTCAAAAATGCCTCCACAGAACTTTCCAAGTTATTCTTTAAATAAATAAATAGGCAAATAGATGTCTAATATAACTAATAGTAAAAATCCAAGCATCTTCAGTTGTTTATACCACCCTTTTAGAATACTTTTGTAAATCTACATTTTACCTATACCGATAATATAAAAATGTTGGCTTTCTGAGCTAGTTGAGTTATTATTGACCATTTGATATTTACCCAGGGCAGGAGCAGAAATAGTGAAAAACTTCTCTCTCACTCTATCTCTTTAACTAATAGCACACAATTGTTATGGACACAGGCAATCAAAAACGAATCGATTTTAGGCACAGACATTCAAAGTTATGATACTGAAGCTCCCTTGCACAGCTGCCACCTCTTTCTAAAGGCACCTGTTTTGCAAAGGTATTTTAGCTTTTCTTGCTCTTAAGTTTCTTGCACATTTTCTCCAGAATTTTCTCTTCCCCTGCTCAGAATAACGTCAGCCTTCTTGCTGTTAGAACTGAACATCCTGAAGAGTCCTGCTGATTTTTCACTGTTTATAATTTCCAGCTCTTCTCAGCTTTAAAGATCTAAATGGTAGCGCTAGTGAGTGCAATAGAGAAACATCCTATTGCAAACTTTTATGTGGGAATGAAGCCTCTGGGGTTTGGGCTTCTCTTTCCAGGAAGTTGTGTGTGTGTGTGCACGCACGCATGTTTGTGTGTATATTACTTTTTTAAATTGTTACTGGATAAAATACAGCCTAATCACTTATGATTGCCTGTCCAACCTGTCACAAGCTGGGTTGTGCAGCAGCTCTCTTTATTACTCTGCTTTCAAAATCAGCAATATGAATTCCGTTTTAAGTAGGTAGCAATTTCAAATAGTGAATGCTTTAAAAGCTTAGATCTCTTCATAACTAGTGATGCTGATGAAAGTAATATTACACACTGTTTTTTTTTCCAAATTAAGGCTTTTTATAAGAGGCTTTCAGTTTGTCTTCCCCACCCCTGTGTTTCATGATTCATGTCTTAAGCTTCAGAGATTCTTTCTGTTTGAAACTGTAATTATATTGTCATTAATAATTATTAGTGCAATGCTAAGTTAATTAGTAAAATGATTCTTTTTAGCAGGGGTTCCAGTGTCCCTGAAAATGATCGACTGGCTTCAATTGCAGCCGAGTTGCAGTTCAGGTCCCTTAGTCGTCACTCCAGCCCAACTGAGGAGCGGGAAGGTGATTGTCTCAATAATAGATTGTTACCTGACTCTGTAGGTAATTTACGTGATTAGCGTGTTTCTCTCTGTTACCAGTCCTTACCCTTTCGAAAATTTTAGCACCTTCCATTCAAACAAGACTCTTCACTGGTAGTTTTTTAAATTTTAGGCTTATGTTTTCAGATTAAATTGTTCTACCTGCAGACATACCCGTTGCTTTCTTGCCTTCTGCATTGTTTCTGAATGTTCTGAAATGCTCCTGAAAACCTGGAGGTTTTTCTTGGTGTCTTGCTAAGTTATAGTATTCACAATGGATAACATGGCTGCTGAATTATCAATCCCATTAGGTAGTAAATTTGTTCTTCCTTGTTCTGTTAACAAGGTATGATTTGGATCCTTCAGGAAAAGAAAGTTTTCTATCCTCTTTTTTAGCTGCCACTGCAGTAATTACATTACAGATTTGTAATGCTGTTAATTGAATCCAGAAGGAAAGGACAGGATGAGTGACTTGATCTCCTGGTCACTGCTTCTCCTGCAGGTTTATCCAGTCCCCATATATGTAATATTTATTACAATAAATGCCTTGAAGCATTGATTATTAAGATAGTGTGTTCTATGCAAATTAAAAGTAGTATTACATTCTAAATGAAACATCTGAAACAGATCTTTAAAAAACAGATGTCTTAAAATATATCCTAAGAGCTTGCTGTTAAGAAGGAACACTGAAGTGCTTATTCCCTTTTTATGCATCTGTCTAGAAAACTGGAATAGCAGGAATCTTTTTCTAAAGAACTTCAGAAGCTTGCTCTCCTACAGACTTGTAACCCATAATTGAGTCTGAGTGTCCTGAACTGAAGTGTCTCCCTCTGGGAGAAAGGAGAATTAAGTCACCTTTCAGAATACCACTTCTGTTTTGTCTTTAAAGATAATAAACTGTCTTAGAATTCAAGAGCTATTCAGTGCCATGTAGTTGCCTCTTATAGCTGAGAAGTGTATTTATTCCAATATGTAAAAATCTCAGCTTCTGACAAATCTGGTGGCATAATCCTTAAAAGTTATATGAGAACCAGCTACTTCTGTGCTCACAGTACTATTTCTCTAGAACCGTCATATCCAAAAGGAGATTCGAGTGGATCATCCCGGCGGAGTTGGGAGCTCAGAACCTTAATCAACCAGACCAAAGGTAGGAAGGAGTACAGGAGTCATTAAATTTAATGTTTCTTAAACTAGGACTATGTTAAAAAAAGGAATCTTAATGATAAGTGTGTGACTGTGAAAAGATTTTCACAGCTTTGTGAAAATACACAGGAAACAAAAAGGAAGGAAAGGAAAAACAAAGGAAACAAAACAAAACAAAAACTCCTGATATTTGGGTAAAGAGACTACTGGCAGAATCACAGGGTGTAGACTTTGGGAAGGAGTTATGTAGATCATGTAAAAGTAGCATCTTTCCAGTTACTGGAAGATGTCAGCAGGCTAGTCCTACTGTTACAAAAATAGCTACCACTGTAGGAATTGTGGAAGTTTGCTGTCCTTCAGCCTTGCATCTCGCGATTGAGAATGAATTCTGACAGCAGGAAGTATTTTCTAAGATCTCTGCCTCATGTGGGTTTTTTTTTTCTTATTTTGAATGTCCAACAGTATGCGAATTATCCTGCTTCTCCCCCTTCTCTCTGCCCTGCTGCTTATTTTCTTGAAACCTACAGTAACTTAATTTTCTTTATGTACACATTTATGCATACAGCTTGCTTTCATACATTCCGACAGGCTAAAACCACATGGAACATTAGAAAAAGATGTTTCCTGTCATATAAAGAGCTGTTCTCTCACTAAAACATCTAAAAAAAGGTACACTTATGGCATGTGAAGTTATCCTTTTGCTGTACTCAGCAAAAGTAAGGTTTCACTGGCACTTCCTCTGTGATTTTGATCACTAGGTTTCAAGAAGGATGTGGCTTAGGTGGAGAAAATACAGGAAAAACTAAGCATTTTTTTCCTGAAATGTAGAAGATGTATTTTTTTTTATTTAGAATGTAAGCAATTGGGTTTGGGAATGTAAGAAATTGGGTTTGTTTAATATAGGAAATTTAGAATGTAAGCTCTGAAGAAATTGGGTTTGTTTAATATAGGAAGAAAAGAATGAGGGCAAAAAGTAAAAATTTCTAGAGAGTTGCTGCAGAAGGAATTGGTCTTTGTATCCACTCTAGATAAGAACTTTGGTTCAAATGGAATATTTGGCTCCTCTCTGCAGTGGAGGAGATTTAATTTATGTGAAGCAATATGGATTGTAGGTGGGCTATAGAAGACATTATTTGAAGGTGTTTCAGTAACTCCATCTTTGGAGATTTTATAAATAGGTTAGACAAATGCCTGTCAACACTGGCAGCTATGCAGTTTTCTGCTTTCTAAGAAGGAAAGGAATTAATTGCTTCTTGACACTTCTTCCAGCCTCACTTTCGAGGTTTTTGTTTCATGGTAAGACTTTAAAGCTGGGGTTATATAATACCTCAAGATCTCTGAAATAAGAAAAGGCTAAGGGAAGAGTTTGAAGAAAGCAACTCATATTTCAGTGGAATAAAAACTTAACACAGTTCGGTTAACTTTAACGCAGTTCTGTCATTTGGCCTGAAATTAAGCAGATAGATAAATTAGACTCTCAAAATAGTTGTCTTTTAAGTCAGGGCACTTCACGTAGTATGCAAAGGTGGCAAACAAATATACAGATGATATTTCTGAATTAAGGGAACTGTTAATTGCTTTTCTTTTAGACACTGCTCCCAAGCAAGCACCAATCGAAGCAGTTCAGAAATCTGTTCAGTTGTTTGAAGAAAGGAGATACAGAGAGATGAGGAGGAAGAACATCATTGGCCAAGTTTGTGACACCCCAAAATCTTATGATAATGTCATGCATGTAGGTTTGAGGAAAGTGACTTTTAAGTGGCAGAGGGGAAACAAAATTGGTAAGTTTGCTATATGTTCATTTATTGGGCTAAAATATCAAGCTGAATTTTAAAAGGACATCTAAGACAATCTTACAAAATCTTTCATCTCTGCATGAGTAATATCAGCTCTAGTAAAACGAGAATGTCAAATGATAAATACTATTGCAAGTAGTATTTCCTGTATTTAGAGCTTCACTGAAGTCTTTTACTGGTCAAGTAACAAGCAGAGAAGGAAAATAATTTTGTTAGTACCATAAATTATATGTGATCCTGCAATTCGGCCCTATAAAAGTTGTGATGAGTTCTGCTTTTGGAAGAACCATGATTTTGAATGTAAATGAACAAACTTTAATGGATTTGTTTTACTCATCGATATTGTGTTTCCCCCACATGTGAGCATTGTTTCCTCACCACTTTGAGGTTTGTGGGAAGAGCCTCATGAATTGAGTATTTTTCCAGATCAGCCTGATAATGTGATGTTCGCTTTTAACATAACTGAAGATTTAGCGTTGTGAATGTAGTAACTGATGTCACTGGTTCAAATCTGCTGGAATTTTTTTTTAAAAAGCTGAGAACTTTTCAGTTACGTGTTTTCTTATTCCAATTAGTGTGTATTTTGGATATTAAATGTAGTGGAGTTAATTTTTCTTGTTGTTCTGCAGGTGAAGGCCAGTATGGGAAGGTCTATACCTGTATCAGCGTTGACACTGGGGAGCTGATGGCTATGAAAGAAGTGAGTATTCACTGCTGCCTTTGCTCTTCCCCTGAACCACGTGTGTATGAGCTAGTGGGCACGCAGGTTTTCTGAACCCTGGTGTTAGCTAGATGGGAAAAAGATGAGAAGACAAATTGCTACGTCATGTATCCACCCCTGCTAATTGTCAACCTGTTGCTCCTTGAGATTTTTCTTTCAATTTAAATTTTTCAACTTAAATATATGTAAAATAGATGTTGTTTTTTTTACTAATCTCACAGGGATGTGTGAACTTAATGAATACTTGCTTAATATGTGTGAACTTCCATGAAGAGAACTTACATTATTTTGGAGAGAGTTTTCTCCTGACTGAAGACTGTACAGAAATGCATATCATATTTTACAGTATTTCATCTCATGTTTCGTTTTACTCCTTTTCATTCTTTAGAGAAAAAGATAGGAAGTGTCACATCAGATGTTTTTCAGCTTCTCCTGTAGCTTAAGTGAGCTAGGCTGAGTCACAAAACTGTTGACTAACCTGGTGGGTACAGAGAATTTAATTTTCAGTGTAGAAATAAGTAAAGCTGTGTAGGCGTAGACATCCTTTTCCCCTCCAGCACCTTATTTATTAAAATATGTGTATTGTTCAGTTCTGTTGTGTTTCCCCATCTTCAGACAACTGTGATCATCAACATTTCACAGAAGTCACTATGCCAGCCGTTTTTCCCTAGAGGACTTAAAGAATAATGTCATGAAATATACGTGAAATGTTTCTGATCTGTCAGAGGCTTGAGAAGGCAGGACTCGATCTGTGCTTATTTTTTTTTGTGTGCCATTACTCATCTGTTGACTAATACCAACACTAGGAAGTTTCTTTCCTCACGGTGCTGGAAGTGTTTCCGCTACCTTTCCTCGCCCTCGCTGGGAGCACACTCTGCTTTCTGAAAGGCACAGATGTTCCCTACGTGCAGGTGCTTTTTGGAGATGAGCATGGTCGTGTTCTCCTTGGGGGACTTCAAGCAGAAGTTAGAAATAAGTGCAGATGGACCTGCCTTGATGCACACTTTGTTAGTAGGCTTCATACTTGTGATGTTTTCTCACCGCTAGGCATATATGGCCAATGAGAAGCACTGATTTTTCGCTGTGAGCTTAAATATGGAGTGTGCTTGCTTTTTTTCCAAATAAAAAGTGCTTCTGAATATCTTTAAAAATTCAAGGATTCCTTGAGAACTTTTTTTTTTCAATGTAATAGTGTTGTGTTAGTTTAGTGTCACTAAATGACGGGGAAAATACTAAATACCCAGTGTGACAGCTTGGAAGTGCTGGAAAATATATAAAATACTTGAATGTCATCTGACATATATTTATCATAATTTAAATACAAATCATATACTGGAATTGATGTACAGAACAAAACAATCACAATAACTAGGAACCAAAGGTAAAATGTGTGCATTTATTTTTCTACAAGTTTGCCAAGTGTTCAGATAATGACGCTTTAGGCTCTCAGACAAGATAGTGAAAACAGCATCTTCTATAATTTGTGCTGTGCATTTTGGCTGTCTTTGTATGAACAAGAGAAGGCTGAAATGAGTTTTTCAGGAGGTTTGCTTTTGTTTTTCCTCTGAGAAAAATCCATCACAACACATTGTAGAAGACCTAAAGGAAGTCATTCATTTAGATATGCCTTTCTGTTGGTGTTTGCCCCATGCCGTGCCTTTTCTTTGCAGCAGCCCCATGCTCAATTCACCAGTTCAAGGGCAAGCTCTAATAAGATATATAGGCATATGTGTGTGTGTGCAAACACATACTCCAATGTATACATATATGTATGCACACGTGTCTGTGTGTGTGTATATAGATATTATATATGTATTTAAAGGGACAAACTTTTAGTCTTGTAAAAGTATTCTGGAAATTGTTTCAAGTTCTTTTTTGTTTAGTTCTATGTTTTTCTGTTTTGTTTTATGGGGGGATGAAGTGTTTCTTGAGAAAAAGCTTCATAAGTGGCTTTTTAACTGTTTTCTTGATCTTGTTCCTTAGTAATTAAACACAACAGTGGCAAAATAATGAAAAATGTTTTTTGCAGATAAGATTTCAGCCCAATGATCACAAAACCATCAAAGAAACAGCAGATGAACTGAAGATTTTTGAAGGCATCAAGCACCCTAATCTTGTTCGTTATTTTGGTGTGGAGCTCCATAGGGTAAGAAAGCAGTAATTACTGGGAGCTTGTATAGGGTTGTGAGAATTTGCAGACCCTTTTGGCTGTTGGAGATTTTACTCCAGAACATCCTAGTTTAACTTAATTGTCTGGCTAGCTCAGGGACTGCGTTTCCTCCACTCTGCATGCAGTGTTGAGGTCTCTTCAAAACCCAGTTTGCAGAAATGTGTGGAAGTAGCACATAAGCAGAGAAGCTAGTGCACAGTAAGTGAGTAAGAGTGAGTAATGCTGGAGCTATTCTGTGCTGCTGATCTGTTTTTGCTGCTCTAAATGAAAACTATGTTGTGTCCTGGCTAATTTTTGTTTGGTAGATATTGATTAAACAACCTGAAAGCCTTCACTGTTAGCAGTGAAAATTGTACCAATATCTTGACTTCTGGAAATATTTTATGCTGGTACTTAGCTTTTGATGACAGCAACGTATCTTACGAAAACAAGTATTTTGCAAGGGAACTAATATCTCTTCAGAAGGAAAACCAACTTTCCTTTAATTAGCAGTAGAAATAAGCCTGATTTTCTTACAGACTTGGGTTCCGCAGGTGTCCACAGCAGTGGGGCTGCCTCCCTTCTCTTGATCTCTCCTTCCCACGTGCCCCTGCCGAGTGTCAGCTCCTGCCTGTGCCGGTGCCCAGTGGGGTGGGCAGGGAACAGGAGGCCCCTTCTGAGTCTGGAAAGTGGTGCAGGGTTTTGACTGATTCGACTCGGTACAGATGGGTTGATTTGATGGCCCGTTGTCGTTTTGGAAGGGGAAAAAAAAAGCTGCTCTCTGTCTGCATTTTGTTACTCTAATTTGTGTGCCTCTGCTACTGGTTCACTGGTTTCTTGGGCCACTTGCAGGAGTTCACGTCTCTGAAAGCATTTTGTGTTGAATCTAGCAGAAATTGGCTGAAGTTTCAAAATGATGGGAGCAATGAACAGAGAGTTAAGAATCTAATGCTTCTTTAAAGTGAGACTGAGAACTCGTCTAAGGTGCAGCCAACAGCAAAAGGTTGGCACCCGTAAGCAGCTATTGCAGAAGCTGGGAGAGGGATAATGAAGGAGAACTTGATCCTCATTCAGTATTGGAATAAATCAATAAATCAAACCAATGGATGTGGTTTGGTTCCCACAACAGGAGGAAATGTACATCTTCATGGAGTACTGCGATGAGGGCACCCTGGAGGAGGTATCCAAACTGGGCCTGCAGGAACACGTCATTAGGCTCTACTCCAAGCAAATCACGATTGCTATCAATGTGCTGCATGAACATGGTATTGTTCATCGAGACATTAAAGGTAATGGTAACCAAAAAAGGTAACGTTACTCTTTTGGCCTTGTAGATGACGGGGGTGGGAAGGAGAGAACTTTTTTTAGGACAGGTTGGCTACACTAATACAGCAGTTGAGTTTATGATCTTCCTTGCGTTGTCCACCAGTTCTCCAGATACGGGCTAGTGCAGAGCATTGAGAAAATTTTTCTGCAGACAGAATTGCAAAACCATGAGCAAATTCTGCCTATGCCTATAAACTTTAAAACGTTTATGTTGAGATCGTTAAGATGTTGGGGGATTCATCCAAACTCAAACTTTAGTCCTTGTGTTTCTAGCACTATTATGCTGAGTTCTGTAGTGCTATCGTTAGTCTCACCCGTGCAAGCAACAGTGGTATTTTCTGGGAGCTGGCGAGTAGCGCAGTGCTCTGGCTATTCATCAGAACTCTTGCTTGGGATTCCCATTTTCCAGAAGGGTTTGTAGGATTTCAAGGAACGGCTGCCTAAACACAGTGACAAAAGCCTTGCTAAAACCAGTGAAAGAGATATGGTAAAAAAGTAAGACTTGACTGTATTTACCTAGTGTGTTTTTCACCATACCTGTTAATCTGCTCGTGCTGGACTCTCAGCCCGTTGATAGAAAATCAACAAATGTTGGGAACCGCAGGGCGGGGGGCGGTTTGGCCTTTGCTAAAGGCAGCTGGTCGCACTCCACACTGCAACTTTTTTTTTTTCTTTTTTCTTTTTTCCTATTTTTTTTTGCCTTTCCTGCGCCTTCTAAGTATACCTTCCATGTTCTGGTTACCTTCATTTTGTTGGTCTGACACATTTTGCTCACCTATGGCAGAAAGCTAACCAAGAGTAGGGGAAGCGGCGCCCTGCGAATGCTCGTTTGTGACAAGGCAGTGCAACCCAACGATGCTGGGTGTCTGTCCCTCTTGCTCACAGGGTTTTGAATCATCGCAGCAGTGTAGGAGGTTCCCAGTTGCTCGTGGTCCTTTGGCCTCGTGCTTCTCATTTGGGAAGAGAACTCTCTGCGACCCAGAGGCCTCCCACCCAGGTAGGCCACCCTCGAGTCAGTTTTGGCTTTTTTGTCTTAGGAAACACTTTCCCTCACCCCCGTTCCCCAGCGGTCTTGCCTTTTCTGGTTCTCTTTCCTGAGCAAAGGTTTCTCTCCGATTGCAGATTTCCCTCCGTGTTTTCCACAGTGCCTTGCCTTGCGCGGTCGTTACGTATCCAGGTTCTGCTTCGCTGGATGGCTCTTCGGGAAGCTCCTTGTGGGGAAAAACCCAGGGCTGGCTCCAGGGCCTGGGCCTGATGGCAGGGATTGCCCTATCACCGCTCTGTGTCATTGCTGATTTCTGCGTATGCTGCCAAATAAGAGAGGAATAGGTTTTCCTCTCATTAGAGAAAAGCTCTGAAATCAGAATAGCTATTTAACAAAACTGTAATTCTGCATTATCTGAGGGTGTTGCTGTTGCAGGAGAAAAGAGTTCCTAATACCAAATGTTGGGGTGTTCCTTCAGAGTAATTGGAGCTACAAGTAGAGGGCTATTGTAGACACCTCTATTCACAGACTGCCCCTAAATATAAAGATAAAATATGAAGACTGAGACTGCATAGAGGATATTTTTATAAAGGTCCTTGATGTTGCATTTAAAGTTTATCACTGTCTGCTTTTATGCTAATATTACAGACTCACAGAGTGGTTGAGGCACCTCTAGAGATCATCAGTGCAAACCCCTGCTCAAGCAGGGACACCTAGAGCACGTGGCACAGCTAGCAGCAGGACAGAAAACTGGGTTTGCTTTCAGCAGAAGAGAATGCTGGTAGATTTAATCTGTTGTTGCTGGTACTTTTTTTTGTAGAAGAGAATGATCCTCTGCCATTCAGACTGAGCTAAAACTGCTTTTCTCCGGGCAAACACGTGTTTGGGTCACACTTGATCTCCGGTGCCTGGTTTTGTCTGGTGTCGTTGTGGATCTCAGAACTGTTGCTGAGACAGAGTTACTGCTTCTGCGTGTCCCGCAGGGCACTCGTCGCGCCGTGTAGGTGCTTGCTGAGCCACAGCTGCCCTTCAGCTGGATTTGTGGCATCTCATCCCATCCTGTGAATGCAGAAGGTGGATTGAGTCCCTCCTCACCCGTGGTCACGGGAGACAGCTGGGAGCAGCACTGCTCGGTTTTTGTACCGGACTGTGCTGCCTTGTGCTTTGTGTCCCTGTATATAACAGTTTGGTGTTAGGGCATGGGAGCAATTAGGTAAGCATTGTGGATACTGTTTGTACCTCTGTCCTGACTTAACCGCTGTGGCTAAACCCAGTTTCCTCCGTTATAACGACCTCACTTTTTGCAAGGCAGCCATGCTGCTCAGTGACAGGAAATGGTGGATTAATTAATGCAGAAATGACCCTCCGGGCTGTCTCGTTTGGCCTTCCCCTTGCCAGCAGCCCCGGTGCCAGGCGCAGCCCCACAGGGCCTTGCCTGGTTCGGTCGGGAGCATCTGCAGCCATGGGGCTTCCTCCACCCCCTGCACGGCCCTCCCAGTGGGTGAGCACCCTGGCTGGGGAAAAACTTTTCCTGATTCCTCACTGGCGTTTGCAAAGGTTGCGGTTTGTGTCCCTTGCCCCGGATCCTTTCACTGTGTGCTTTTGGGGCAAGAGAAGTCTGCTGCTTTCTGTCGTCTTCATACCCTCTTGTTATACAGTTGAAAATAGCACTCGGTGTCCCTCGTTGGCCTTCTGCAGGCTCAGCAGATCCATCTTCCCTGCTCAGCAGCCCCGACCACCTTCTCGGCCGTCTGCTCGACCCGCTCGCGTGCGGCAACGTGAGTCGTGTCCCGCGAGCCCAGGCCAGGCCCTGGCTCCGTGCGGCCCCGCGGTGCCAGGTCGGGGGAGCCCTCATGAAGGCAGCGCCCGGCGCCCGCCCTCGCGAGCCCAGCGGCACCTTCCCAGGGAGCCTGCAGGCTGCCTCGGAACAAACCAGCGCCAAGGCACGAGGGACCGTGTCTGAAAATTCAGCACGTCAGAAGGCTGTGAATGAGACCCCCTGCGCCAGGAAGTCTTCCTCAGAGTGTTATTAGGTTCTCATTAATGTTGTTGTTCTCTTCCAATTTGCTATTCCTGCCTTCACATTCTCACGATTAGCACAGGGGAAGGAAGGTCATGAACAGCAAACTGTGGGCACGTCAACTTTTTGAGGAGACCAAATAGAAGAGGAGACTAGAGCTGCTTCTGCCATAGAAGGTGCCATTTGGCCTGAAGTAAGGTCCTGTTTCCTGGATGAATGTGGCTGCTGCGTTGCTTTGGGCCTGGCTGAGGAAGGGCTGTCAGGTGCCCCCGTGTGTAATTCTGCTGCAGTCATGGTGCATTTGCTGTATTTGTATTTGCAAACACCGAGTACTTGCTGCTGGTTGCAGCCTGTCCAGAATGTGCATGGTGAGAATGGGGCTCCTCTGTAGAACGCTGCTGTTCCTTGCTTCCAATAAAGGCATCCTACAGAGAACTCTTGGTCTGCTTTTGACAACATATAGGTAGGAGGAGAGAAGCAACAACTGAGTTTTGTGCCTTCTGGTCGTTTTAGCCAAGGCCCCAGCCTTGTTTTGCTTATTACACAAGCAGGCGGGGTAGGAGCTTCCTCGTGTTTCCCGTTCGCATTAGCTGTCCAAGGTAGAAAGGGCGGCAGGTCCTCCAAGTCCTGCTCTCAGGCCTCTTGTCCTGCCCAAGGCCCTGTGGATTGTGTGGATTCCCTCGCCTAAGCCAGGAGCCCTTTCTAAAGAGCCCCCTGCAGCCTGGGCTTGGTCTGCCGGGCACGTCCTCCCCGGCAGCGGCTCCGGCAGGCCGGCTGCGAGCGGGCGCCTCGTTGGGCCCCAGCAACAGTCCTCGGCTTCCGGGTTGTGGCTTTCCCGGCTCAGCCCTGGCTCGTTGCTTCATCAGGTTTGACTGATTTGAAAATCATCAAAAAAGGAGAAGGTGTGGGCAGTAGTTCAGAAGGGAGGAATGACAATACAGTGACTGTCATGCTGCTGCATCGCCCGTGTTTGCTGTGGCATCCGTCTGCTGTATGCACGTCCCGGCCGTCCCTGCCTGGCAGAGGGAGCCAGGGACAGGCCCCGGCTGCTCCCCTCGCGCCCCCCGGCGCCGGCTGCTGGGAACCCGGCGTGGGGAGGCGCCTGCGGCCAGCGGGGCCCGCGGGCCGCTGGGGCTGTGTTCACTGAAGGGTGCCTCTCCTTGCACACCTTTGTAAAGGTTTACAGGAATCAGAGCTTGAGTTTATTCCCCCACCTCTCCTCTTAGGGCAGTTGCATAGCACCCCTTGAACTCCGTGAGTCTTGTTTGTAATCAAGCTTTCTCTTAACCGCAGGAGAAGCCCTCTGAGAAACGGGCAGAGCTTTGGCATCGTTGGCCTGCACTGCTTTTTATTTTAACTTGAGCTTTTGGAGATTTTTTTTCTTTTCTGTGAATTCCCGGCCAACCTACCTGGAAAGCTCATTAACCGTAGTAGAAAGGAGGAGCGGGTAAGCCATCCTGCACTGCCCCGCGTGCCAAGCGAAGTGAGGCACTTGGAAAGGCCGTGTTCAGCGAGGTCATGTAGGAAACGTGCTCCCGAGTCACGTGGGAAAGGCCGTAGGCGATGAGGCCGCCACCACGGGGCAGCGCTCGCGGAGGGAGGCAGTTTTGTTCTGGGCTCCCTCCGTGCGGCAGCAGGGCCCTCTGCCGGGGAGCCCCGGCTCCCGAGGGACTCCCGCTCCCTGCGGCGCCTCCTGGAGCGCGCAGAGCTGGAGCTCTGCAGCTCAGAAATCCCCGGGGTATTTTTTCTCCCATCATGAGCAGGTATGGGAAGCTCTTGATTTTGCCTGCTGTTGTAGGCCTCTTGTTTTGAACACTTCTTGTCATCTTCCAGCATATTTTAGTATTAACAGAAATCTGTCAAAAAAAAAAAAACCAGTTGGCTAAATAAGCAGGTACTCTGTGGGGAAAAACATCTTCAATGCCAACATTTTCCACACTTAATTCACAGGTAAAGATCTAAGTGCAAATTCAGTTGTTACCTACTATGTAACTTCCACTAGTGTGTCATGGCAAGAAGCCCTCATTGGTCAATTCAGCCCTGGTTTAACAAGTGTTAATGTTTGTCTTTGTGCTTCCCAGGAGCCAACATCTTTCTTACCTCATCCGGACTGATTAAATTAGGAGACTTCGGCTGCTCAGTGAAATTAAAGAACAACACCCAGACAATGCCTGGAGAAGTGAACAGCACTTTGGGGACTGCAGGTGAGCAGATACGCGCCAGGCAGATAAATACTTGTCATCCTCTATGGTGCCTAGCTGCTTCAATCAAGCGTCGGCTTGGAGAAAATTGGATCATTTTAGGGAGGCTCAGTTTGACCTTAGCTAATTGGATGTGCTTTGCATCCAGTGGCTGAACAACAGAACTGCAAGATAAGTCTTATTTGTCTGGTAATGGTAAAGGCTTTGGAGCTTGCATTTCCTGGGGCTGTGTAGCCTGACTGAAACAGTCTGGTCCTTACATAACAGCTGCTAAATCTGTTTTTTTTTAATGCAAATAACTGAAAGCCTCCAGCATTTTCACTATTATTTTTCAAATTGAGACATTTATGCTGCAAATGTGCCAGAGAGCAAGAAGCCTGCAAATGATAAAACTTAGCAGGAAACGCTGTCGCTCGTGGTAGTTCATTGCAGATGTGTTAACAAGCATCTGGTTTGCTGGGTTAATCAGCGAGGTTGGTTCCTTCTGCTGTGCGAACTGACGGCATCCCTCGTGTTGTTTCAAAGCTTACATGGCTCCCGAAGTCATTACGAGGGCTAAAGGAGAAGGGCACGGGCGAGCAGCGGACATCTGGAGCCTGGGCTGTGTTGTGATCGAGATGGTCACTGGCAAGGTAAGGATGTTTCGTGCACTGAATGGAAGGCAGCTGCTCGTGGCGCTTCCCCTGAAGGTCCCTGGTCCGTTCGTAGCAATTCCTCACAAAGTCCACAAGGACTGAGGTCTTTTTGTTTTATAAACTTGCTCCAGAAAGTGCTTGCTGTAGCAGTAGCTCTGTTGGCTGTTGCTACATCACAGACCAAACCTGCACTTAGCAGTTCTGTTACCCGTTGCAGAGGCCATGGCATGAGTACGAGCACAACTTCCAGATCATGTATAGAGTGGGGATGGGTCACAAACCTCCTGTTCCTGACAAGGTGAGCCCGGAAGGGAAGGACTTCCTTTGCCACTGCCTGGAGAGCGACCCCAAGATGAGGTGGACGGCCAGCCAGCTCCTCGACCACCCCTTTGTCAAGGTTTGTCCCGCGCCTTGGCCTGCCGGGGCTGCGGGTGGGAATGGGAAGGGGCTGGGAACTGGCTCTGTCTGTGCACGTCCGCCCAGGCCTTGTGTCCTCTGTCACTAAGTAAATGCTGGCCGAAGGCAACGGCAGCTTCTGAGAGGCCCCTTGGATGCTGCTAGCGAGCGTGACTAAAAACGGGTGCGCGCCGTGCAGGAAGTTCTCACTGCTGTTCCGAGATGCATCGTTTTTGTATTCGAAGGCCTTATCAAACCTCAGAGCAGGCGCCGTTAGCTGCATCTGGGGGCTGCACGGCTACAGTTTCAGTGGGTGCCTGTGCACAGACTTCAGGGATGTGGAGACAAGGGGCCCCTCCGTGAAAAGCGGGGGGCAAGCCCACGTTGGGGAATGAAACTGTTATTAAACGTGTCTGACAAACAACAATGCTATCAGATGCTGCAGTTCTTGTGTTTAATTGTGGTTTAATCAGTTCCCTAAGAATATTTGCATATTTTCATCCGCAAATTTAGGTGTACTTGTAACTTTTTTTTGGAAGATGTAGGAGCACAGTAGGTAACTGAAGCAGTCTCATTTTCCAGCACCAAGTTACTCACTCACTCCAGCATTCTGGTCCAAGTAACCATGTTTGGGATCATCATCCCCATCCATCTTAAAAATGCCACCCAGGCCAAATTCTGTCACCCCCCAGGCAGGATTCTGCCCTAAGCAGGTACGAATTGCAGGGTGGCTGTTGGACTTAACTGTCTTTTGTCCCCTTCACAGGTTTGCACAGATGAAGAATGAAGTTACTCAGTCTCTGGCCTTTTTTATTCTGGCAAAATATCTTTTAATCACTACTGTATGTAATATTTACATAAAGACTGTGCTGAGAAACAGTCTAAACGTTAAACTTACGAAGACTGCACAGGTGACGAGCGTCACTCTTTCTGCTGCTCCTGTATGTTTTACTTGGCACATGTTGCTCCCGTGACGGTGTCCGCAAGTCGAGAGAAGCTGCATGTTTCAGTGAAAGTGCCATTACTACTGTATATGGACCATGCCCTTTTTTTGTTTTCTCCTGTTTCTCATTTGATTGAGAACTGTAATGTTAATATGTAGTATTTTTGAACTCTGTAGGTTCAAAAAAATGCTGTAGTGTTATCAGGCGTTATGGACCTTGTTTTTTAATCTGTTTGTTGAGTGCACTGACTGTGAACTTTTACTGTTTTTTGTTTATTTGTTTTTGGCGAGCTTCAGATTTGTTATGCACAAGGCTGATTAATGAAATTTTAAAAAAGTTTTTCTCAATAAATGGTTTATTTTAGGAGTCGTTTGTAAATTTGTGGATTTTTTTCCTCTGAGAATAAATGCATAATAGTATGAGATAGGGGACACTGTCACACTTGAAACTGTTTTTCACAACCCTCTGGTTTGAGACAATCAGGAATGAAGCTGCTGTTATACTGCAGTTGTGGGTGTTTTGTCAAGTTCATCCAACTAAGAACGTTTCATGCTGCACAGGAGGTAACAGAACTCAGGTCCTCTGTCTGTCCCAGCCTGATGATAGGAGGTGGTGTGATGTGCGATGCCTTTTCCTGCCTCTTCCATAAGGGACAGCATTAAGAAATAAACTTGGAATGGTGGAGAGCAGAGTGGGTCACAACTGTCCTTGTATGGGCTTGTGCTGGGCAAGAACAAAAAACCCTGCTCTTGTAACACCACTCTGATGCTGCACTGTGGTGGTTCAATGTTCATCATTCTCATAAAAACGGGAGAGGGGGCACAAGGGGGAAGGAGAGAGCGGTTTCTGTGGTTGATGTGTTCAGGTACTGATCTTTTTGTTTGGCTCCCTCCTCATTAGAAAGAGGTAGTAATTCACTTAAAAGTGTTACAGGTGCAAGTTTATATATTCTTTGTAGTTGAATAACTTCTGAAGCAGAAAAACTTTAATATTTGGCTTTAATCTTGTCTCTTTTTAATCTCTATTAGTTTGTTACAGTTAAAGTGTATCTGTAGCAGCAGAAGATACCATGAAAGTAAGTGGGCATTTAAATCTAGACCTAGACAAGCCTCACCATGCAGTTTACCAACCTGGTATTTCTGGGCTCCTAAAACTGTGCTGAATTTAAAGAACACCCCCTCCATTCACTTCCAAGCTGCTTGGGTGAGAGGCTCAGCAGCAGCCTCTTGTTTTCCCACGTGCTGGTGCAGGGGGAGCAGCAGAGCTTTTCCACCTCCTCACTTACCTGCAGGTAAACAGGTTTTTGCCTTGCAGGCAAACAGGAACGGAGCCCACCGTTTGGCTGTGGCAGAAGACAGACGAGTAGATGGTCACGGACCAAAAGAAAACTCACTCACTGTGCTTCAGGTTTTTATGTTTTTATTTTTGTATAAACAAACATAAGTCTACTTTTTGTTAAGGCAGTTGTTGAACATAGAGTTGCTTGTGGTGGAAAGGGGCAAACACTGATTCCTACCAACATAATAGTCATTCTTTTAATACAGTGAACTGGACTATTTTACCTTTGGCAAGTAGTGTTAAGGTTTGTGTGTTTTCAGGGATGCTGGAAGGGCCTGGGCTGCAGTCCCTGTGCATGGGGGCTTGGAGAAGTGTTGAGGAGGAAGGATCCGGGCCTGGCCTCTCTGGCCTTAGCCCTGTTCTTAGCGTTGGTCCCGGGGAAACAAGTACAAAATATTCTAAAGGCTCCTTCAAAAGGTATTTACAGGTTTGGTACTTCTGGCTTGGAGAGGCAGGGACTGTGTGTAGCTGGGCAGGAAATGGCTGAGACCCACAGGGGATGGGAAGCGTCTTCCGACCAGCCCGCTGGAGCGGTAGCTTTTTGGAAAGGCAACGCGAGGGGAACGTTGTTGCTACACGAACCTGTATTTGCTGCTCAGAGCTGCTGCCCCCTGCACAGACCTACTGAACACCAAATGCACCGTTCATGTTCTGACTTATTTTCTGTTTCTTCTAGCTGTAGTTTTGTTACAGCAACAGAAAAAAAAATGACAGCAGCTGCTACCTCTACTTGCTTTCTTTTCTAAAGAAACACAGACTGTGCCTTCCTAGCCTACCATGGTGCAGAGCTCTATGCAACAAAAACATAACATCAGTAAATGTGTCAAGGAAAACACCCGCTCATTGCTCAGCATCACTATTTCTAGATTATTATTATTATTATTTTTACTGTTGACAGTTGGAGTTCCCTGCTCACCCACCTTTTTCCAGTTCCTCCCCTAACAACTTCTTTAAACTTCCTGTATCAAGGATGTGTAAAAAGGAGAATGCCCAGGAATGTGAGAGCACAGAAAGTTTTTCCCAAGGGACCTGGTAACTATTTTTACTTAATACAGAAGGGTGTCAGACACAGACAAGCCTTTAAAAAAATCCAAGTCCTACCCCAGCTTGAGGTTTCCCTCCTCAAATCAAGGAGGGCTGTTCCGTATTACCTCAAATCAAATGTTAGGAGGTTCCTTGTAAACCAATCTAGCAGAAAAGGTAGGAAAAGAGGTAATAGGGATCACAGCGGTATGGGAGCAGGTAAATAACTTTCAATGCACCCTTGGCATTACTTTGTTACAGTGTGGCCCCTCGGTGGTTGTTTCCACCACTGTTAGAAAGGCCTAGTGCTTGAAGCTGCAAGTGATTTCTTACCTCAGTTTTTCCAAACTCTAACATTTTATTCTTAGAAGAATTGCAGGTTTCAGGCATCCCACGGGTGCAATGCCTGGGGAAAGACATAGCAGTGGCAACTGGAGCTCTGTGCAGGCCTGGGAGCCAAATTCACTCCCCGTGTTGCCACTGCGAGTCTCTGCTGTAGCAGAGAGGCCCTTCCCTTGCCCAGGCCGAGGCCGAGGGGAGCTGCAAGGGCCGCTGTGCCGAGTGCTGTGGGACGAGCGGGTGTCAGAACGCTGCACTGCAGCCCTGCTGCTGCAGGGGGTCGCTTCAGTCCGCAAAGGAAGCAGAGCACTTCACTGTATTTGAACACTGACAGACTACGGTTGTTAAACTGTTAATGCACGATCTAGGCAATGACCAATTTTAATCTTCTCGCGGCGCTCTGCTGACATTTACCCCTTCCTTAGGGCGCGTTACCTTAACGCCTGCGCCGCAGCACCCACGGGTGAGTGTCCAGCTGGGGTCTCTCCCTGGACGGGCACACTGGAGTTTTTGTCTTCAAAACATAGAACTTTATAGGAGACCAAACCAAACAAATGCAAACCTGTTGTGACGAGTATGTGACGGAGGGCATCTTTCCATCCAGCCCAGGCCCCAGGACAAGAACAACAGGAGCACAAACTGAGCTGTGCAGGGCAGCTGCGCATCCTACCCTTCCTCTGAGCTCGCTCCAGGGCCGCGAGATGCACTGAAAGAGTTGTTGTCCCAAGTCGCATTTGCTCCCTTTGGGTTGCAGCAGTCTCTGGAGGTGCTACTTTCGTTTCTGCTTGTTGTCGTGGTTGCCGTAGGTGGAGCCCTTGTTGATCTCCGTAACGCCTATCATCCACCTGACACCCACCGATGCTGCAAAACAATTAAAAGTAAAGTTAAATAATAAAAGTAGAGTCCCTTGCAGCCAGGGAGAGTAAGGGTCTGTATGGCCAGCGTGTTTTGAAAGAGACTTTCCGGCCTGCGCTACCGTACAGTGCTCCCGCATCACCCCTGTACCTCACCCTTGGCACAAGGTGCCCTCCTCGCCCAGCGTGTCCCACGGAGGAGGAACCCGCCGCCCGGCCTGGCCTCCTCACGGCCTCTCCCCACGCGGGGCAGCCCAGGCAGCCTCTGCTTTGCCCTTAGGCAAACGCAGCTCTGAAACGTGGGTGCTTCTTGCTGGCTGGCTGGCTGGTTTTACAGGCCCCGAAGCATCAGCAAGCGCAAGAGCGACTTTATCCCCATCAACAACAGCATAAATTGTGGCATTTCTTAACCACAGCTCACACAACTGCTTTTAAAAGGCCAAATTCATTCAGAAGCCCACTGCAGCTGATGGAACACGGGTAAAGTTTCACTACGCAAGAGGATTATCTGTTGATTTTCCAGGGCCTGCAGTGCCTGACGCGGGAGCTCGAGTGCATCACAGATGCAGCTGCAGCTCAGGCCCTGCTCCTCCGCGCGGGGCTCCCACCTGGGCAGCCCCGCGGCCCCCGGCAGCTCTCGCCGGCCCCGCGGGAACAGGGCCCTTCCTTCCTTCCTTCCTCCCGCGGGCGCAGCAGGGAGCACGGAGCAGGCTGCGCCCCGCGAGAAAGAAAGGAAGGACACCTGGAAGTAAGCGCTAAATACTTTAGTTAAATACCAAAACAGGCCTAGGAGAACGGCCAAACAACAGAGCTATTTTGGCCAAATCCTAAATATTTAAAACAAAAGGCTAGAGAAAATGCAGGGAAAAACACTTGTGAATCCCTGTTTGTTATATAAATGCAAAAATGCAGGGAAAAAACGAAAAGGAGCTGCAGGCTTTTATAACTAATCATTAATAAAAATAATAAAGGAGTGTTGCATGTTAAAGAAAGAAAACTGTATGACAGCTATATCAAATAAGGACGAGGACAGAAAGGCACCATAATAACCTACTGTGCTTAATTACATTGTAGAAGTTACCTAACTTCCTTAAAGGTAAAGCGAGAGGCTGCTGTGACAAGGGCAGGCCCCGCAGTTGTGATTGATTCCCACGTTTTCTGCCACGCCGGGGCCCAGGTTCCTGTTCGACCCTCCTGCCGCAGGGAGGGCCGTGGGCTCGGCCTGCCCGACCACCCGGCCGGGACGGAGGAGCCGACGTTTCGCTGCCTGACGGGCAGGGGGGTCAAAGTGTCTGCAGGGAAAGTGTTCGGACTGGCCCGCACCAGGAGCCCCAGATATTTTATTCCTTCAAATTGCCATCACCTGAAAACACACAAGTCAACTAGGCTTGTGATTCCCAGGGTGACACTGGGCTTGGTAATAATTTTCAGAAGCACAGGAGGGAAAGAAACGATGAGCCTGTGCAGGCTCCCAGCAAACTCATTGCAGCTTCCAAAGCCCAGATAGTCCTTGTATGAGAACAGGCAAAACCACCCCCTGGGCCAAGGGAAGGGCTTTCACTCAGGCAGTGGGAAAAGAGGAAACATCTCTGACATTTAAATGGCCACGAGCTAGGAAGAGCAGGGGAGGATCCAGCACACACCCTGGGATCATGACAGTAACAGTGAAAGTCTTTAACCAGAAAGGACAGAGACGGCTCCAGGCGCATG